TAACGCCTTACAATAAAAACCCTGAAATGGACGTGTGAGAGAATGGAATCAAAAAATTAATCTTACCTTATTAAATAAGGGTTTAAACTTAATGATCGTTTTAAACGCGCCAATTACACAATAATTAATATAAAAATTACTTTCAAAAATGTCTCTTCACTTGAGAGTCTCTCTATCAATCCGCTATTTTTGCCATTCTTTTCTCCCACACGCGGTATCAGTCAACGCCTCTCAAAATTTTGTAAATATTCAAATTTAACCTTGTGGTGCCATCTGAATAACGAATTCGATAAATTATTGCTCACGAAAAGACAACCTTATTATTTAAAAGACAAATTTATTATTCTCCCATTTTTTAATTTATGGAGTTCAAGAATTTTTACTCGTTACACCTAGGGATGGGCGATAACTGTTTTCACCTATCGATAAGTATCGGGTACTTACCTATCGATATATTTTACTTATCGATATGCCGATTATTATCGAAATATCGATGGTTATCGATATATCGATACCTATCGATAACTATCGAAATATCGATAGTTATCGATATGTCGATAGTTATCGATATATCGATAGTTATCGATATTTCGATAGTTATCGATATATCGATATCAATAGTTATCGATATATCGATAGTTATCGATATATGAATACTATCGATAGGTATCGATATATCGATATGTCGATAGTGATCGATATATCGATATGTCGATAGTTATCGCTAGGGATGGGCGATAACTGTTTTCACCTATCGATATAAGTATCGGGTACTTACCTATCGATGTATTTTACTTATCGATATGCCGATAATTATCGAAATATCGATGGTTATCGATACACCGATAGCTATCGAAAGATCGATAACTGTCGCTATATCGATAAGTATCGGCATATCAATAGTTCTCGTTATGGCGATAGTTTTTAATATATAGGTATCGATATAATATTACCGATAATTTTTTTGAAAGCGTGTCTAAAAACTGCATGAGTTTACTTTTATATTTTAGCGACAGAGCCCGACAAGACAAGAGGGCTCTTTTAACAAAATATGAAAATAACCGAATGCAGTTCTTGCAACTTTAATGGAGTTACCATATTAACTGTGCAATTATCGCAGGGTTCTTTAGCTTTCTACAATGCAATTACCGCTGTAATTAAGAGGTAATTGCACGGCTCATTTGAGAGAAATATTCGACGTATCGATAGTTATCGACAGGGATAGTTATCTTATCGAGTTTTATTAATAAAATCCATTTTCCGGTTTATTCTCGTGTAAAGTGACTATTAATAGTTACTCGACATTTCTTTGCTACCTTTATCAAGAGTTTTTTGTTAGATTTCGTAAATGTCAATCAATTGAAACTGTATATCTAAATTTGAAGTGTTCTTAACTTTTTCTGTTTTTTTGTGACTGGTCCTCTGTAACCATCAATCAGATACCGATACATAGGCCATGATTACACCCTTTGATTGTCTTCTTTATTTTATCTAAAGAGTAGCCATTTTGATGCAACATTTTGTTTTTGAAGTGCTTCTTTTTTTTGAGCAATCGTCAGTAAGACGAAAAGATCTATTTTCTAAAGATTTTATTACTGCGTTTATTTGGCATGGATGATGATGTGACGTAGCGCTTCTCTTGAGAAAGGGAGCAAAGTTAAGTTTCCGAAACGTCGAGCAACTAAAAATAGTTAATTTACACGAGAGTAAACCCGAAAATGGATTTTATTAATAAAAATAGTAGCGCTCGTTGAAATCTCAACAATAACATAATTTTATCGTACCAATAGTTATCGACATATCGATATATTAATAGTTATCGACATATCGATATATCAATAGTTATCGATATATCAATAGTTATCGACATATCGATATATCAATAGTTATCGACATATCGATATATCAATAGTTATCGACATATCGATATACCAATAGTTATCGACATATCGATATATCAATAGTTATCGACATATCGATAGGTATCGATATATCGATACTTATCGATTAGTATCGATAGATCGATAACTATCGATATATCGATAGTTATCGATATATTCGATTTTTTTAGCTCTGAACCTATTTGTTATTCGATTATATCGATAACTATCGATACCTATCGAATATATCGAAAAAAATCCCATCTACTTACGAGTATTTACTTTGAATTTTGCAAGTATAAGCATATGCTCCCTTTTATCCATATGGGCCAATATTTCAATTTAAGTACTTAAAATTGAAGAAAACAAGTGTAATTAATCGGCGCATGTGAGAACGCTAATGTTCGTAATCACTTAGGCCCATAATAATATGCTCATCACTTTTTTAAGTCGTTTTGAAAAGTAGTTTCCTCTTCCCTCAGCCATTTTCACAAAGAGCGTGTCCAGTGACTTAGCGTTTTTGATGTTCGATCAAGAATGGCAGTTTGATGGATTTTTTAAATTAATTTTGGACATTTCAAACCGCCCTTCCCGTAAGAATTTCGTATACAAACTCGGAAAAATCGAAGGAACGCCATTAGTTTTAACGTTACACGCTGCGGAGTAAAAAATTAACTTTTCGGATCCCCATTTGTTCTAGTTCTATTTCAAAATGAAAAATACATATTTCCGACATTGCACCAAGTTTCAGAATATACCCCCGAAATTGGCTGTACTAAATCACATACAAAATTAATTGAACGTTTTTTAATACGGCAAAGGATATGGGGAGGGCGTACTGTTGCTGTAGATGTAGGATATTGGGTCAGTCAATTTAGTGAACTCAAAATGACGTATCTTTGAGGATTAATTTTTATTTTAATTCGCTTAGTTTATATGATTTCGGATTTCCATTTCTACCGAGTATAACAGGACCATGGTACCCCACTCCCCCATTTTTGAAGAAAAAGCTTCATTCATTTAAGCAGTAGTAAAATTTATTAATTTTTGAAATTCGAAAATTACCATATTTGAATTTTAAAATAATAAAGTACAATTTTTTCGAAGTTAATTACCTGAATTTAATTTCCGTAATCGCCTATTAATTATGCTTAACGGATAAAAAAGCTTAACTTGTATTTTAAATGCAAATTGAGCTAATAGTGAATTTGGCACGAGACGTTTTTAATTTAAATATTTTTGCTTTGATATCTTTTTTCATGTGAATTTGCTCAGCTCGATTTTATATAGACATTCTGTATCAATTCTGTAACCAAATTTTCTAAAAATGCGCTTTTTAATTTTTTCATTGGGGCTTTGGATTGATATGTCAAAACAGACCAAATTTCCCAAAGGACATTCAGTGTAAAATTAAAGTAGTAGAACTGGGTGTACCATAAGGACTGTTTTTGTTTAATTGAAAAGTGCCTGGGATTTTTTGGCAACCGAATGCAAGACAAAAATTTAATCTCTCAAAAAAATGAACGTAGGGTCATGGGTTTTACTATGGTAGGGACGATCTGTCTCCCCCTAAACATTTAAAATTTCAAGCCCTACGATCACGAGGGGGAATTGAAACATTTTTTATTACAAGAGTTTTTTCCTTCGGCCTCGTTCCATAGCGGTTCTTTCTTTCCCACATCATGTTAACCTTTTTAGTGGCACAAAAGACACACCCTTATAAGGTTGATTGGTCAAATATGTTTATGATTAATCTCCTTGGAGAGCTTGTTTAATCGAAGTCCTCATATTTTTAGGGTAACTTTTTTACTACGCGTGTGGTTTACAACAAAAATGAGAGGAATTGTCATGAGCTACTATTATTACAACTCCCACAATTCCATAATCGGAACCAAAATAATCGAGATAAAAAAATCATATCATTTTTCCCCGTTGTTATCGGAAAATCGGCCCTTATTTATTATTGATGCGCGTGGATTATTGGATATTTTAATGAAGGTGTTTTATAGTTTTGATCGATTTTATTTGTGCAACCACGTGGGCGTAAGTCATAGGATGCGAATATAATTTGTCCCTGCAGGGCTTGCAAGTCGCGCACCCTCTGATCTTGAACTTTGCCCATATAGAAACGCAATTTATTAAAATTTCCGTATGTTTGCGAATTTCGTTGGTTTATCCGTAAAAATGAAACGCAAATTATCCGTTTAATTTGTTATCGGCGCTCAAATTCGGATTAAGGAACTTCAAGGACGACGATAAAGGGAAGCTTATTATCTTTCAACAAAGAAAACACTTAATAAAGCCGTAGAAATGCCAAGGATTTTAGTTTCTGGTCTCATTTTGAAATGTAGAAAGTGTACGTGACGTGTATTTAACATAAAATTAACGATGATAATTAATACTAGACGCGTCGCCGACTTACCCATACGGGCGCGATTGTAATTAAAAAAAACACGTAGCACTTAACAACAAGAAACTAATCCCTACGAACTCTTTATTGTAAAAATTACTGGCAAATTCACGACAACAGCAGCACCGTTAATACGAGAAACTGCCCGAACGCTGCCTGCTGCCTGCACATTTCTTTACTCGAACGCTATGCTCAGCTGTCCTAGTGGGAAAGCAGTCGGTCGAGTTCATTTTAGGACGAAGGGGAGTCCGTCTACATTTTCCCGAATGATTACGCCTAAATAAAAAAGCGTAGGTAATCCCAAATTTAAATTTGTCAACATTTTTCGTAGCGCAATACGTAAATGGCGACCTTCTTATGATTGCCCGCTCTATGCTAATTGAGCTTATTATTATAATCGATACAGTTTATGTGCATTCATCGAAAAATGGCGACCATATCCCGATATTCGTCACACTATCATCATCAATGGCGGGCGTACACCCAACAACAACGTAGCGCGATCAATACTCGTTTTTTGATACCCAGATTTTGCGCCTCGCAGTCTCCCTGACCTTGATTTTCAACGTTACATGAAATTGTTACCCGTGTCATAAATTGGCACGGCACCGCAGACTTTAATGTAATAAAACGAAATTATCGAACACGGTTTATTTATAGCATCTATCGGTGTAAAGTACAATGTACTCGAATTGTCCTTTAGCGTGGCAATGAATTCTGCACGCCTTCTCCCAGAAACCGTTACGCCCTCTGGCTTTCCCGCGCGCTTATTCAAATTGTCTTTTTTTGTTTACAGGCGGAGGAAGTGAAAGAGCAGGCAGATCTTACATCTCCGGGCCAGGTGAAAACCTTCAGCGTGCCCTGCGATGTCGTCTACAACTCTGATATCATTTTCTCGTGCGTTTCCGACACGAGGGCGGCCAAAAATGTAAGTTTATTTATAAAAAAAAAAAATAGGTTACTCTATTTCCACTTGGCGAACCCTCTCATTTTGTTTATTTAATAACGCACGTTTCCGCTGGAAGTTGCGGTCAGTTACTTTATCTAAGTAGCAGACGATACCTAGAAATGCAAGGTAAACAACACATACCATTTATTTGGAGTTAAAATGAAACTATAACTTAAAAAAAACTGTTTTGGTCTTTTTACGTTATTTTATTCCATATACGCGAATGAATACACAGAGCGATCAATAAAACATTTACTTTGAAGAAATATATTGTCACATTTTTTGATACACATTTTTATACTTGAAACGTTGTTTAGCGTATTCGACTATAATACGACATTTACAAGAAGCGGAGGAAATATTTTTGATAGGTGCAAAACTAGAAAAAAAGTCGCCATTTGATAGGCTCAAATTTGGCGAAAATCGTCCCTTAATATGTCAACCCATTTTTAAGTTACAAGTAGTTTTGTGGGGGTCCATAACTTTGTACTATTGACTATTTTGCAAATTTTTTTGAAATTTTAAACTGCCAAAATAATTTTTGGTTTTTGCTTTTAACAAACACTTGGGCGTCGTTGGAAATGACATCCTGAAGAGGATGGAGTTCATACCTATTTTTTTTTACACCGCGCCCACTTGTTTTATTTGGGATGCACGTTCTGTCTCGACCCTCCTGACCAGGACCTTCGGCCAATATATCAGTCACCATTGATCTATGCCTCACATTGCTCTTCCTGCCAACGCCTGCAGGTCAAGTTCACTCCCGAACTCTTTTTGTTAGCAATGGGACCTTGGATTTTTCGTATTGGGTCGATACCATGGCCTAACAAAGTCACTCAGCGGTAGAATCATAATTATCAGGCGGTACCCGAGACCGCTTCAGAGGCTCATACATTCTCGGAGCCTAAGAATATATCTGCGAGGGGGTTTACGCCACATTTTGTCATCAGGAGTGTGCCTGCGTCCTGTTAAGATCTACTATTAATTTATACCGTTCTGACTAAAGATATCATGTTAAATCCACCAATTGATAATATTCAAAAAAAGATTTTAAAAAATTAGAAAGTTCCAAATGATTCAAAAAAATACAAAAAATTGAAACAGAGGTTTGAATTTTTTAAACAAAATTTTGTTACCTTTTGGTATCCATTTTGAATTTTTTTGTATTATTTCTGGAAATGTTTAAATATGATAGTTAAAATAGTGTTCTAGTTAAAAAAAAATGAGGTTAGGCCCGATACGTTTTTTTACCTGACTCCGTATACCTAATTTAAAAACTGAAAATGTCCAATTTCGTTTTCATTTTCTCAAGCTTAAACGCTCGGAAATGGACGCTTCCCTTTGACACCTTCTATGGGCACTTTTATTGGGAAACTTGCTTATTTCTTATGGACGCCATATTGGATATTTACGGAATGAGATAAAGGGAAAAAAAAGAAATTCAGTTGAATGCGTCGCCATTATAGCCATTTTGATTTAGCAAGATCTAGTTACCTGTGGATGTTTTGTTGAGAAATGAATTTGATTTTGAAAATTTTCTTGTAAATTTATGTTAACGTATAGAGTGTGAAGCATCATTATTGTTATTTTTTAGCGCATTTTCCAAAAGGAAAATAAACGCTATTGTCCGCACTTTGTCCGTCTGTACCACTACTAGTCTTCCAGTTTAAGCTTTTTTGTTGTTTTATATGTGTAGCACAGCCCCGAGGCCAGACCGACAAAAGATTTTTGGATTAGTCACTTCCTTCCCGAGTTATTACTGATTTTGTACGGAAAAAGTTCGCTTTCGTGGGTCGCAAGTGACCATTTTAAAATATGAAATTAAGTATTAACCACCTTTTGCAAAGCGCGTGCCGTTTTTTAGGGGAATTCTATGTGCTCATTGTCCACGTGCGCGTGTCGCTTGTTAAATTTGTAAAAAAATCGTTTACAAACCGTCCCCAATCGATATCCATTATTACAAGGGTATCTTTGAATCGAAATTTGCGAATGCTCTCAAGTTTAATGAGATACGAACGATAATGAAAAATAATGTAAATGGAATAGAAAAATTCCTTTCGTGATAAGGTATCCGACTTTATCCCGTAACAAAAATACTTGTTTAGAGACCGTATAATGCGCACTGTACAACGTTCCGTACCTACATTATTGATCACTAACAATTTCTAAGAAAAACATTTGTTTCGCGTTGTATATAACGTTAATTGGATTGCGTTTACCTGCACACAACCCTGAGTTTTTATTTTTATTTTAAAGTATATACTTTTCTTTAATTACCCTCACCAATAAAAACTTGGGAGGTATCGAAATCACTTATACAATTTTGGTTTTGAGATTACACCAGATCTTTACGTGTCAAGGTCCCAGGTGTCCAAAAAAATGCTTTTTAAAACATGTCTGTATGTATGTGTGTATGTGCGTGCGGCATGATTTGTGTAAACAAGGTTCAGGCGAAACTACCCGCACGATTTGGTTGAAATTTGAAACTCTTAAATAGTCTAGAGATTTGAAGCTATTCGAAAATGGCAAAATGCCTTTTAGGCAACAACATCGATATTTATTGAATTACGTATAACTTTGTAAGGAGCAGACCGATTTGGCGACAATGTTGTACCACTCTAATGGTCCTGTAAGCTGAGCGGATTTTGGAAAAGATGGAAAATGTGAAATGCCCTTTTGGCTATAAAACTGATATTTATTGAATCAGGTATGAGCGTTAAAAAGTTACCCAGTGAGTTGATCGATCGATGCGATTGGTGACGTTCCAGCCACCCCACTGGTAGCCAGTATTTTTAGCGCATTTTTGAAAAAAAATACGCTATTTGCTATTATATTTGTTATGGATGGTTGTCCGGCTGAAATCTCTGCAATTACAATCTCTAGACCAAGCTGTAGGGCACGAGGGAAATTGTCATAAAGAACTCATTCTTTTTGCATTAGCAATTAAATGTGTAACGCGCGAATTTTACACTTGTCTGTTAAAAGAGTAGTCTTTTAATGTAACCCGTTGTTCTCCATATTAAAAATTTGTATTTATGCAGCCATTTAAAAATATCGAACAAGGAAAAAAATTAATAGTAGGGCGATTTCTTTTGACAGTAAATTAACGGATTACGGAAACTGACTCCACTGTTATTTGTTTAGAAGAAAAGGGGATGGTATAAAAACTCGTTTTCTACATTATACCCCAACATGAGTCGATTTAGTAATCAAGATTTTTCAAGAGTGGCAATTTTCCTATTGGAATCGAGTAAATGGTATACATATTTTATTAGGAGAAAACTAGTCTATTTCTATGTGCGCGTGGCAAATTCACTGCAAGCACGGAAACAGTAATTCTAGACGCGTAATGAACGATATTTTTTATTATACTTCTTTGAAATCGACAACTTACAAAACAAAAACATTTTTTTTTATTTGATAAAGAGATTGTATTTACGAATTAAAATACAAAATGGGTACATGTTAACTATTACATAAAGTGTTCCTTAATATCCTTATTTTATGACTAAAAAAGTCCATCGTTATTGATCCACAGAGTGTTATAATTTTACCATACATTTCACAATGTTAATGTTTAATTTATAATCATGCAAAACACAAGATACAATTTCAAATGCGAACTATCAAAAGTAATAAAAATAAGAGATTATCCAAATAAATCCAGCACTATTTTAAAAGATTTACTTTTCATTTAACCAACTACAGAAAATTGATTTTTATTTTTTTTGTAAACGATCGCAATTCGCAGATACGAAAAAAATACGATACCAAGAACTTTCTAAACAAATCAGAAAATTAAAATGGATCATTTTTGAAAATAACTGAGATATCATCGAAAAATTCAAAATCTCAAAGTTCGTTTTTCTATTTCGATGTGGAAACAATACCGAAACCGTACTTGATTGGCCCAGTTTGCGTGCGTTTCTAGACAGAAATGATGCTGAAAGAAATAGAAACGTATTATTTTTTTTATTTTGTTGGATTGGTACCACTCGCTTTTTTGCCGTCAACGGTATCCGTCAAATCAAAACTAAACATAACCTGTAAAGTGTAAATAACGTACGAGGAACTTGACCGATTGTATTAATTCCGATTAATTCTGAATATATACTCCAAAGGGTAGAACTTTTTTTATTTTTACTTAGCATAGTAAAATATGCCAGCAGTACATTCTTGCTTACTTTTTGAACTTCCTTCTCGGCGAGCCAGTTTTCAAAAATTTTGTACTCCTCGTACTTTACTTTCGATTTTACAGGCAGTAAATTTAACGTCGCTTCATTGGCAATCTCTTGGACCTCTGGTGGAGTACAAGAGACGTGTTTGTCCTCCGTATTCATCATAACTGCCGCAAAATGGAATTATGACCAATAATTAAAAGTTTGAAGTTTGAAAATATAGGAATCAGGTTAGCCAACGTGAAAATAAATGAACTGTGTCTATTACCAACATACACTGAATGATAGTTTAAAATTACCTAACAACACCTAAAGGCAATATTTATAATTTGTATAATTTATTATTTAAAATAAAAGTCGAAATAGAAAAAATAGTATAAAGCACACGTGTCATTTGTCTACTTGTCGCACCTCGTGCGACAATCTTCGTCAAATGACACTTGTACTTTAATATACTATTTCATTTTCCGTACCCTAACTAACCCTTTAGTACACAGACCACACTTTTCGAATTTTCTTGTTATTATTCCTCTACCAATGGAATCTTGGGTTTAGATATGCCTTCTGGTGTTTATTGGCAAGCTATAAACCACCCTGCACGATTTATTTGACAGTGATGTGATGGAAATTCTGATAACAAATTCAGATTCTCCGAAAAAAGTCACTATAGTAGGCTCTGTATCGATCGGTGTGTCTAGGTCCACTATAGTAGGCTCTGGTCTGTCGCAGGGGGCTGTGCGGGTGGTATCTGTGAGCCACGTAAATTTCTTTTTTTCACTACTAGCGTCTGATGACATGATTATTAACCTTTTTTCCACTTGTAAAGTAGGCTTTCTCGGCATTTTTTCAAAGTGGTTAATAATGTGGACATTATTAACTAGTAGTCAATAATGAGAACTGTCACGCTGTCACTTTTAGAAAACACAACCCGAAATTTCGCTCAATGAACGTTTAGACAAGTTCTCTAAAACGAATAATTGCCACCATTCGCAATTTCCAGAGAAATTACATACCTAAAATAATCACATTTTGAAAAAATTCTAACGAAATTACTCTTTGAAAAATCTCAATGACAGAACAAAATACGGCCTGTTTGACTTGTACTTCCACGTACTTGATTGTCATGTTACATTAAGAAACAAAAAATTCTGTCCAACCGTTCACTTTCTTATCAATATAATATGTTAATTTACAGGACTTCAAGTGCTAGTAGTGAAAAAAATAGTATATATACCACGGTAGAGAAGTCTATTATTGCCTTCGCACCTTACACCCCTAGATGTAATCTTGGTGCTCGGGCAATAATACTGTACTTCTCTATCTTGATATATAATGTACTATTATTTACATACGGATGCGGATTTCACTTACGTGACACAGTAGTTTTTTGCAAGTAGACAGGAGGGATTATAGTTGCGATAATATACAAGGAACAGATCATTTCTAACTGACAGAAAAAATTAAATTTCAATTTCACACATTTCCATATTAATGCTATTTTGTTTGGTTACTAGATTTTACCTTTAATAATCTTTGCAACCCTAATGCTGGGTTTATACAATGATTATTATCATTATCATTAGATACAAACAAAGGTAGGTCGTTGGTGAATAGGCGCTTTCTTTCGGTGATCCAAACGCGTTTGGATTGTCAAATCACGTTCTTTCGAAATGTGATCTTATAATCATGATTGCTAAAATCGTGAACAAACTGAACATAAAAGTTTTATGATTACGAATTCCTAACCTATAAATGCAAGGATATTTATGCTCAAATGGTAGGTTAGTCACTATTTGTAACTGAAGAGGAGCATAATCGTGCAAGCACTTCCACTTATATTTAAATTATTTTCATTAGCCAAACAAACAAGTTAAAAAGTAATCGTAAACGATTTACATAAAGCGCATTTCCACTTGCATTCATTTCCCATTTGTAAGATGCAACTTCTGTTAAAATGTAAAAATCCGCCCACAAATATGAAAGATAGCGTTGCACATGGGCAATCCATTGTTGACGTGCTACTTCAATTTCAGTTTATGCGAAGAATTTCATTTCAATGCTTTTCTAAATAAGAAAGTTGGAACTGCGCATTCGCAAAATAAAATTTTAAAACTAATGTTAGATTTTCCTTTGTTCCAAGCGCCTAAGTATCAAATTTCACTTAAATAGTTCCATAGATAAAAAAGTTGGAACTGCGCATTCGCAAAATAAAATTTTGAAACTAGCGCTAGATTTTCCTTTATTCCAAGTGCCTATGTATCACATTTCATTTAAATTCTTCCATAAATAAAAAAGTTGGCACTGCGCATGCGCAAAGCCAAATTTTGAAACTGGCGTTTAATTTTCCTTTATCCCAAGTGCCTATGTATCAAATTTCGTTTAAATTCTTCCATAAATAAAAAAGTTGGCACTGCGCATGCGCAAAACCAAAATTTGAAATTGGCGTTTGATTTTCCTTTATTCCAAGTGCCTATGTATCAAATTTCATTCAAATACTTTTATAAGTAAAAAAGTTTGCAATTCGGCTTATAAATGGGCGAGATGCGAAAAGGGCACTGTGAATTTTGAATCTATTCGATTCAACTTTTGGCATTGCGTATTATATGGCTAAATCTATGCCCATATTGAATTTCATGCAATTCAGTTCATAACTAACGGAGATGTAAAAGCTATCGAACATTTCTAAACAAAGTTATCGTTCACACGGACAGATAGATGGACAGACAGACAAAGGAACAGACGGAGAGACCAACCGACAGGAGACAGATAGCAATGCAAAGTTATAAACGATCTCTAGGATCGTTAATAAACGGCAAAAGTGTAAAATTATGGAACATGTAAAAAACGGTTTTTTGTTTTTTTTTCCAATAACTTTTTTTGTAAGCTGTACACAAAAAATTCCTTCCTTGGTACAAGACTCGACACCATAACGAACCAAATAGCGAAAAAAGTAGAACAATAGCTCTTAAGATAAAAAACTAGTAGCGTCGCAAAGTTAGCGGACGGACGGACAAAGTGGCCACAATAGCGCATTTTTTTTTTATTTTTGTGGAAATGCGCTAAAAATACGTAATTCGAATCTAAATGTGTACTCCGTAAACTGATTTAAATTCGCGCGTTCTTTCGTAAAACGTGATCCTACGAATCACAATCTCGAAATCATGATTGCGAAGTAGCCGAAAGAAAGCGCCTAGTGACGCACAACAAACTTTGTTTCTATTGACTAAATGATCTAATGATAGTAAACTAATGATAATGAATAATGATTGTATAAACCCACTATTATTTTTACTTTCCGACTGCCATACAAAGTATGTATAAAGGAAAGTACTGAGTGTGTTTAATTTTAGAGATGTGTACAGAGTGTCCGAATTTCGAGAATGACTCGGAAACCGTAAGAGATGCAACGTCTTTTAAATCGATACAAGTTGCGCATTTTGAGGCGAAATATAAAGCTGGTGCGAAAGTGAGGAAATTCAGATAACATTTGGAACTGGAATCAATCGAAATTCGACAATTTTTTCCATTTATATTTTATAATTTGGGTAACTTTTCTTTATATTTAAAACATGGTATTGTTTTATGAATGGGTTTTCACTTTTTAAATGTTAAAACATTTTAATATATTTGAATGAAAACTTTTTCTTTTTACCAGTCACTCGAAAATAAGGGTGGTTTGTAAATACGGTACTATACCTAAAATCCGCTGTCTTTTTAAATACGAACCTGCAATTTGTTAACCAACTTTGATATTAAATCGGCCTCAAATGCAATAGAACCATAAGAAAGAAATGTGATTGGTGTAAAAAATTATTTTTCCGTTGATATCGATCATAATTTTATGTCAGAATCTAGTAAAATCAGATCATTCGTTTGACGAGTTTCAAATTCTATTTTCCTTAATTTGGATGGGGAAAGCTGTATCATCTCTGCCTTTTTACTTTAGCTTTTGTTAATGGTTTTTTTATTCTGGACGACGAAATTGTTGGATTTTACGTTTTTGTGTCTGCTATGGTTTAAAGTGGGCGTTATGCCCAACCAAATGATTTTGATTAACCAGCGATCTACGTAAATCAGAAGTGATTATGTATATCACTAGAGCCATGTAGGCGGTGTCAAAAAATCAGTCCAGGATCGCGACCCCTACACTAGCTGGTAAGTAAGGAATTCCTAAATATTTCACTAAGTTGACTTCTTGAGCTAAACGAATTCACCGATGTTACCGTATCTTGGTCCATTGAACAGATGGTTTAGTGTTTGTGAGAGTAAGGGCTAATTTCACCGTCAAAATTAAGTATCCCTTAAAGTTAAGCATAACTTAAATACCATAGCAACGATTGTCTTTAATGCCATAGATTTTAAGTTCGACTTAACTTTAAGCAAGGCTTAATTTTGTTGGTGCAACTGGGGCTAAGCCACCTCTACTTTGTGCTGTGGAATTAGCGCAACTGATCACATCTTTAGTAGGTTTCATTGGTGCATTACAACTTCCTTCTGCATCTATGTATATTCAACGTCGTATTTCATAAAGCTACTTTTTTGTATTCCTGAAGATGGACCAATAGTCGGACGTCCACCATCACAGTTATAGTGATCGAATGTAAACCATTAGTGCCTTTTAGTTTTTTAGGTTTCACACAAGCGCCGTCAAGATATGTGTCATTTGTACTCGGAAGCTGATTAGTCTTTGATGTTTAGCTTCATTTTGTAGCAAGAAAAAATATTTCTTGGGATGTCATGATTCACGAATCATTAATTGAACAATATTACAACAAGAAGCACAAGATTCATCTCACTTCAAATTATTTGCATTGCTCACAGAAAATATTGTACGCATATTTTTGCCAATAGACGCGTGAATTCCGTTCATCCGAGATTGAGATTCCATCACGGAGATTTCGTAATAGATTTACACGTGGGATAAATGAATGAAAAGAGTTTTCTTAGGGAAAAGTTGGCTTTCCTATTAAATATAATACTAGTTTCAGTCCTTAGAAGTGATTTTGCGTGTATGTAGAACGAAAAACAACCACCGCGGCCTTGACAAATAAAGATTTTAATTCCCACGGTGAGAGACATTCAACGTTGTTACCGAACAATCTATTATAAATAGTTAATTCCTATCCTCCTCCACTCATAAACTTGCTGGAGGTTCGCTAAAGCAACATTTTTAGCTTTAACTAATTATTGTTTTGTTGAATTCTAGATCGTTTTCACAAACTGTGGAGTATTATATCAGCAAGACGGCAATAGCTTAGAAGGGAAAGGTTATGTTGAGCTAACCTCAATTGATACAGAAACTTCAAAAGACATCAGTAATGTTATCACTAGTAAAGGTGGGCGTTACTTAGAAGCCCAACTGCAAGGCAGCAAAGATGAAGCTGACAATGGTTCTTTAATTGTTCTCGGGGCGGGCGACAAGTCGCTCTTCGACGATTGTCAGACATGCTTCCAGGCGATGGGAAAAACGGCGTTCTACCTTGGCGAAGTCGGATACGCGACAAAAATGAATCTAATACTGCAGGTCATGCGTGGCATTTCGCTCGCCGGTCTCACCGAAGGCCTGGTTTTANGCTCTTCGACGATTGTCAGACATGCTTCCAGGCGATGGGAAAAACGGCGTTCTACCTTGGCGAAGTCGGATACGCGACAAAAATGAATCTAATACTGCAGGTCATGCGTGGCATTTCGCTCGCCGGTCTCACCGAAGGCCTGGTTTTAGCCGACCGATCCGGATTGTCGCTCAAGGACGTGCTGGAAATCTTCAGCATTACCTCCATGAGCTCCCCCGCGCTGATGGAGAAGGCGAACATAATCGTAAACCAAGATTTCCGAAATCCGCGCATGCCTCTGCAACACATGCAAAAAGATTTGAAGCTGGCGTTGGAGTTGAGCGATTCTCTACAACAACCTCTTCTGCTAACAGCTACGGCCAATGAAGTTTTCAAGCACGCTCGCCGTTTGGGATACAGCAAACACGACTCGGCCGCCGTCTACATGCGCGCCCGTCACTAACTTCCACCTCGAGGATTAGCTAAATTGCAATAGATCCACTGTGAAGTGTTTTTGTAATCTTAAGAAAGATAATTAGTGCGAAGTTACAAAGACTGATGTGGCAATTATGAGGAACATTCTCCCCTTAGATTTCGATGAGACCACCCGTAAGTTTAGACAAATGTAAGATAATTAAATCTTGTAAAAAAAAATTTTGATCATTTTGATAATTGACCATTGATTATGTATATTAATCGACATATTTTATTTACTTTCTTTTTTAACTTAGTATACAATACAGTTAGTTAAAGTTTTATTGTAATCGTTAACATAGTGACTCGTTCTCACAGGACACCTTCGAACGTACTAGTTTATTACGTTGATTATCGCAGAATTTAATTAAGTACATGTACTTTTGTAAATTGTAGTTAATATCTCTTCTCTGTATTAATGTTATTACAAATTTTCTATTGATTGATTGATTTGTATGTGTACTATGTTGAATAAAATTCTGTACTTTTACTTGTGACGACACAGTTGCTTCAATTTACTCCATGGAAATTATGAGGTGAGTTGGCAGCGGGAACCTTTCTAGTTTCTTCCCCTGGTAGTGTAATATGAGACAAAGACAGTGACAGATTGCCTAATAGTAAGTCGTGTTTTGATAGAATTGAAGGCGTTTGTTTATCCAGAAAAAAGTTTCAATTTTTACAATTTTAACCAAATAGAAAATTCTGCTATTTCAGTCAAACTAGGTGTAGTTCATATGATGTCTCTAATGATTCATGTTATGTTAGGTTTGTGCCACACAAAATGTCATTTTGAAACAAGTTGAATCAGCTTGAAAATTGGGAATGTTGTTTCTCTGAAAAAGTTTTTACATTACATTATTTCAGATTGTGTCCTGTAATTGGTGTAAACTGTTGGGCATTAAATCATTAAATAAATAAATTATAACTAATTTTGAGGTGAAGGGGTACTTTGAACATTCCATTTTTCAGTTTTTCGGGAAAACTCCTGAGAGAACTGAAAAAGTAAATTTTTCCTAAAAACATTTTCGCCTATAAATAAACCAAATGAATATACAGGACTATCATTTCAAAAGGAACCACCGCTTGTAATTTTGATAAATGAAAAATTGCATGGTTCTCCATACCATGGCAATGATTCGCAGTAGGTAGGGTAGGGAACTGTGCGCAGTACTCTGAAAATAATGCAAAAAAATAATGTTCAAGACTAGAGGGAAACAAATAAATGGTGTACACCAATTCACGTAAATTCAATTTAATTCCGCTAATTCAAATTTATTCACTTTAATTCAAAATAGTTCACGTTAATTCAATATAATCGTAAATTCAAGTTAATTTCACGTAAATCCAAATTAATTCATACTAATCCATACAATTTTCGAGGGGGAAGCACATTATGACGCCATGAGCTGCGATGGAGTCCCAAATTTGGGCCAAGTAACATTGAGGAAATTTCATTACATTGGGAGATCCTTCCTAGAGTCGTTCACTACCTCTAAGTCGGTTTTGTTGACAGCTGTGCGGTTTCGCTTGTCTGTCTGATAGCATTGTCGAGTTGTAAACTCCCGCGGGAGTATTCCCGCCTTTAGGTAGCGCTCATGAAGCGCCTCGTCTGGTGAACGCACTCAATTTCTCGTTAATTCTAAATAATTCACGCCAATTCTAAGGGGTGTACACCAAAAGTTCAAAGTTGTTTCTCCCTAGGTTAAAGAACTTGCCGAAAGGTTTTTACATTTAATCATAGACCAAATTCGTATTTGTATGATTTCATTCAATGAGAGGGTTAATGGTGCTCATCATTACCCCATCGTAATTTCTAACCCAAACTTCAGTTAAATTCAATAAAAATGCATAGAGATTCTGTTCTAACAAAATGTTCTTGTATTTTAAATATCAGTTAACTTACAGGGTTATTTTCGCCACATGCAAAACAGTAAGAAAAGGGACAGATTGAAGAACAACGGAACTCGCTGTCGCTGAAAATATGGGCTAGACATGCCCCTTGAATCTTAATCATGCCATAATGGATTCCATCGGCTGCCGCGAAATTTGAAGATATCTATAGTAATACGCACTGTTACCCGCGGGGCCCGGTTCCCCCATTTTCTCCTATTTGGTTGTTAATATAGGTAGGTACATGGTATACTTACAATTATCAAAATCGTACAAATGTACAATTGTATAACAAACATTACATAATAGTATATTTATACAGTGCATTCGAGATCACCTTAACAACCCTTATTTGGCGAGATACGAAAAATGTGTGAAATACCAATAATTTTTAACCACTTTCAAAAGCTGCCGAGAAAGTTGCCTTTACAAGTGAAGAGAAGGTTAATAATCAAATCATCATAGGCTGGCAATGAAAAAAATCCGTTAAACAGGTGAGTTTTTCGAATTCTCTTAAAAGGAAGACGTATATGTTCTCCCTTGTTCTCGTATAGTTCCAAGTGTTCATTCCCCACCACTTTCTGATAGGGAATGAAAAAAAAAGTAAATTGCAGATTTTAGAGAAGGGAAAGAACTGTAAAACTAGTTATCCCACCGTACCACTTACAGATTCTCAGGGAGTACTCATTACGTCTTTAGGAGACGAGATATTTTATTACTTTTTAAATAAATATTAAATTATAAAATAAATGAAATATTAAAAAATATTGCCCCCACTTGTTTTGTGCTCTCAACAGGCTTTCGCCCAATTAAAGAATGACCGGCATGATTTCACTGAGAGAAAAATCTGTTAGCAGTAATAAAAAAAATTTAATACTATATGTGACTATACAACTTGTTATTCACGATAATTAAACAGAGTTTTCTGTACCTGTTTGATTACAGTCAAATTTTAATTTTATTTGTAATTACATCAATTACCGTAGGTATTTGAAAACCTGGCAACAGACATAAACTTTCTTTAGAGACAATTAGAGGCATTTATTATGAATAATAAACAGTTTAATTAAAATAAGTGTACGTTAAATAACCTTAAATAGTACACTAAATTGTTGTAAGTATATAATATATTTAGGAAGATTTAACCGCAAAATAACTGTAGGTAGCAAAGCGAGGTGTTGTAGAAACGTAGTTAAATTAGAATGGTTTTTAATTGACTTACTACAGTACAACTTGTTTAATTGTGTTAAAAATCTATTCCTTAAGGGCAATTGGAATTAGTAATAACGTAATTCACAATGGTATTTATTAGAAAAAAATGAAAAACGTACATATTACACTTAAAAACAACAACAATCCTATACCTATCTAACAATAAAAAATTAAAATCAAATGAAAATGCCACTTAGGATACAATTAATAAATTGTGATGTAATATTCATTATTTACAATGATGCACTGATTGACATAAACAATATCTGAAAGCATAATATACTCGGTCGTGTCTGTACGTTACACCTTGAACACATCACGACATAAAATTTGAACAATTTTCATCAGTGAGGGCCAATTGCACCGTCAAAATTAAGTATCCCTTAAAGTTAAGCATAACTTAAATAAAATACCATAGCAACGATTGTCTTAATAATCGTTGCCATAGATTTTAAGTTCGACATAACTTTAAGCAAGGCTTAATTTTTTTGGCGCAACTGGGTCTCAGTAGCTTAAAAACTTAAACAATAATTTCGGTAGACAGCAATAGTAGCAAAAATATAACTCTACTTACCTAAGAAATAGTCGAAATATACATCAAGTCCCCATTTAATAAGTAATGACTTAAATTCGCTCATTTTGGGGTAGGTATGGCGTAAATTTCAGCTCTTGGTACACTAGGTACATATAATAAAAAAACCGAATAAAACGTACACCCGCACAGCACAATGTATACCTGCATGCGTATATTAAGAAATTGGTATATACCTACTCCAGCTTTTATGGTCGTCAAAAAACGAACGAAAACGGCTTCTGAAGACGATTGCTACAAGTAGATGTTTACTCGCCATAAATTAGTATTTCATAACGCCAACTAAACTAAACGTTTGTGGCAGTTACAAAAACGTAATTAAGCAAGAATATCAAATTCAATGCAACAGTTTTATAACTGCAGCGAAAACGCTATCTGCTGTTATTGTACCTATGAAAATCTACAAGCGTTTAGCAAATATGTCTAATTGCCCTTATCCACCACTTCTAGAAAATCGATTGTACTTAACACAGTATATGAGATTATTGTCATAAATTGATAACTAATTGAGGCAAATAAAAAGACATTTATTGTAATTAAAATATTTTCAGGTAGACACTTTGATTATATTATTTCTCTCAGTGTTTGATTTAGTATGGCTGCATTTCACTTTTGGACAAAATTTGCAAGCAAACGTATGCAATCAGTATTCTAATCATGGTGTTTTCACCAAACGTAAGCTGAATACGGTCCTGTCCGCTTCCACAACTATCCGCATCATGGGAAAGTCCCGTTTACGAAATTTTTCGTAGATTTTAGTAGTATCACACTCATAATTAAAAGATTTACCTACTCATTTTGTTTTATCCATAAGTTTATTGACCGACAATAGGTAGGTACGCACAAAACAATGTTCCGGGTTTACGCATGAATATGTACATACATTTGAATTTTATTTTTTCGCAGACCAAATAGGCGCCAACGCGGTAAGCCTAAATTTAGGTTAACGAACAAAACAATTTATATCTTCGGTTAAGTATCCATTTACAAGGTAATTGTTGTTGCAATGCCGCAATGGAAGGAGTTGTAATTGTTGCTCAAGTTAAAATTACTCAGATGGAACCTTTAAAGACGGATTGTAGGTATATATCAGAAAAATTGTACCTATAACTAGCCAGAAATCTGTCCCCCGATAGGGTGTTAAGATATCGCAAGTTGTCTTGTTTGATTGATTGATTCCCAGGTTCCCATTGCACACTACATTCTGACTACCTCGCTGTTTTTTATAATATTTAAACGTTAAACATAAATGTCGATTGATATTCATACAGAAAGAAAATGCCAAGGGTAAATTAAAATTTTCATTCTTATTATTTAAAAGTTTCCTAGAATTAAAAGTTGCATGCGAATATGTGCTTGTTGATCCTTTAAACATAATCTTTGAAAGAAATGAAGACATCTGATGCACCCCCTGTCATTACAATGGAAAGTTGCCATGGAAGAATGAATTTACGTAATAGCTAATAGGAAAATTTGAAGGAATTACACTCCTTCCGTTTCTGTCCTCTTAAAATATGCAAAATATGCGAGTTTATAATGTAAATGTAAAGACTATCAAGATATGCAAAAATAAATTGGGTTTAACCACTTCAAAATGTTTCAAATCGAAAATGCACAAAAATCTCATACGAATACAACCAAAAATAAACGATATGCATTTTGCATCCTATCACAGCTTTCCATATAAGCATTATGGATAGAATAACGCGGCGCTCCGTCAAGTTGAAACCAATACTTTTCCCTCGACT